ATGCAGCATGAAAAGCTCTACAATCTAAAGTTTATTTTAATTGTATACTTTTTGTTTACAAAAAAAGCAAAATTCTGTACGACCAATTTTCGCCATTGTGAAAAAAATCATTGTTTTTGCACGAACGAGAATTCCTTTTTCTTATTTTATCTTTTTATCATCTAATATATTTTCTTTAAAAAGTCAAAATATAGCATAAGATGCAGCGTAAATAGTTCTATAATTTACAAAGAACAGTTTATTTTATTTGTGTCATTTTTAAGTTCAAAATAACTCCAAATTCCGTGCGATCGGTTTTCGCAACGGCGAAAATCCGTCACACAGGGTTTTGCTTTTTTCTGAAAACAAAAAGAATACAATTAAAATACACTTTAGTTTGTAGATTGTAGAGCTTTTCATGCTGCATCTCATGGTATATTTTGCTTTTTTAATAAAACGTATTTAGAGATTACAATATGAAATACAACGTGCAGCCGTTTATTATTGGTGACATATTTACATTTTACAGCTGCTTATATGTCTTTAGTTTTCGTCTTTTTTTGCAAATATATCTAAGACAGTTTTTAGGCCTAGTCATATATGATTTTGTAGAGAATTTCAATCGCTATCTTTTGATAATAAAAAGAGTTTTAAATACAGGGATAGTAGAGGAGAAATCTTAAAAATACTGAGAGGTCCATTTTTCCTGGGACACCCGTTAGTTCACCCAAGTGAATTTTGATAAGAATACGCCTCTTAAATATGAACATTTCCTTATTCTGAGCAGTGGGCACTTATTTCTGATCCTATGAGCAATAACAACTTCTCTAATGTGAACAGCATATGTTCTATCACTTACGTACTGAACGAGAAAAAAATTATGTTATGTATATTGTGTTATGATAAACGATCATGCGACACATAGCAAAAGAGAATGGACTAAACGCGGATATTTAAAGAAGAAAACCAATATTAGACAACAGGAATACTGTTGAGTTTAATATCTCGTCGTTTTTTTTTGTTAATAACTATTAATATCAAATCGTGTTAACACGCGTTGATTTATCTGTGTTTAAAAATATTGAATTAATTAATTGTTGGAAAGAAGAATAAATTTGGAATATTTAATTATCAAGTAAATTCTCAATAAAAATTCCATTTTAAGTTTCTTTTAGAGTTGCCAAAGTGTCTACCAACACTCAATAAATTGACATGAATAAAAATTTGATCGAGATTTTCAAGTGATTAAAAACTTCAAACTGCATATTATATCAATAACTATCACGCTGTTATATGACAATCATTCCCATATTGACTTGAAACGTATAAAATAAGAAATCAAACTCAAGGATTCGTCTTTGTTTTACTCTAAATAAATCATATCAATAGTAATCACTCATGCGAAGTTTCCTCAAACATGAAAAATTATTGATGTAGTTGCAAATATTCATATGACATTGTAGTCATTTTGTTGTATTCATTGTTTACAAATATGAATACGTTTTTTTGTTGCTGTTAATCGATGTAAAAACCTTGTCTCGAAAACCGGTTATCAAGTTTGTATATATGTTGATTGTTGCTCTTTCTACAGCTAAGCATTATACATAAATGATAATTATAATCATGACTAACTATTTTTCCTCATTAAATCAATAGTATTGTCAGATTTAAAAAAGAAAAAAAAAAAAGTTCTTAACAAATCGATTGTTGTAGCATTTAGATTAAATTTTTCAATTTATTTAAATAGATAAGGTAATATGATATAAATAGGAACACTTAAATGTCGATTCATAGCTAAAAACCGGTTATTTCATTATGAAAGCAATGCATACCAATGATGTGCATCACCGATTGTTGGCAGGTAAATTAACTACATATCTTTGTATATCGGTTAATCGTGAAGAACAAAAAACATAAAGACGATCTATGCATCTATTATCAAAGTAGTATAGAAAAAGATACAGGTGAGAAAGAGATTTATAAATTAACTATTTCTTGGAAGGTTATTAAATAAAATACATTTCTTTTTGTATATGCGTACGAGTTGAAACAAACATTTTCTTTTTATTATCGTTTTAGTTGAGTAGGCAAGTAAAGGAGATGCATAATCTCCTGAGGATTATTATTATTTATTAACATAGTTACTTATTATCTATTTCTTTTTATTTTAATTATCATTAGGTTTGCATGATAAAGATATTGAAGACAATAAGAATAATTGGACACAAATAGGAAAATTAGTTACTATGAATCAATCATCTTATTCGAGAAAAGACCATCACTCCATTAGTAATAATGATATACAAAGTTATAAATATCCTCCATGTTGTTCGCGTCGTGATAAATCACCAACAATCGTTGTACCGCCTCCGATATTATATGTTATAGAAAAACACACTAATGCTCGTATTGTACGAATTCGATTAGTGTTTATACGTATTGGTGAGAAAAATTTTTTTTTTTTTATTTTAAAGAAAATTAACTTTCATAGATATTGAAATAGGTGAAATCGATACACTTAATGAAAAATACCAAGCAGATATTTATTTTGAAGCACGATGGACAGAAAGACAATTAAATTTAAATACATTAAATCTTACTACACAACAACAAACGCAATTATTATATGAAAATATAATAGTTAGAGTTGATGAACTTAATTCTGTCATTCATTGGTCACCACAATTATTTATTGAAAATGCTATAGGACAAATTGGTGAACAAGATAGATGGTTTACAATTAAGAGAAATGTACTTAAGTCTGTTGTTGAAATTTCATCTCCATTTTTTATTGATGCTGATATTTGTGAATATCGACGTATTAAAGGTGTTTTTTGGCAAAAATTAGAATTAACACATGTGCATATTTATTTATTTAAGATATTTTCTTTTTCTTTTTTTATAAATACATACTTATCATATTTAGTTTCCAGTTGATGTTCAAGACTTAACAATTTCAATAACAAGTCATCATCATGTTGAAAATTGTATACTTGTTCAAGATGAACAATTTCATTCAAGTATAAATCGTGAAGCTTTTTTTGATCAACAAGAATGGTCTTTATATGAACATGTTGCTACAAATACACGTGAAACTAAAGAAGAATATTCATTTGAATGTGAAAATAGTGGATTAAAACAAAAGCAACATCCTGTACTTGCAATAACTTGTCGTGCAGGTATATACTTTATTTTTGAAATTTAAACAAATATGTTTCTATTTTTTAAGCTCGTCGACCTGGTTATTATTATTGGAATGGATTTTGTTTAATTTTTCTAATAACTATTTCTTCATTTTGTATTTTTTCAATTTCACCTGAGTATAAAAAGAAAAAAAAAGTTTTCAGTACGATAAATTTATTCTAGTAAAATTCTTTCTATTTTGACTAGTTTACCACAAAGTCGTCTTCAAATAACTTGTACTCTTCTTCTTACTTCTGTTACATTTCGTTGGGTTGTTAATCGATCATTAGTAAATATTGATTAGTTTATATTATTTTATTTTTTTTGTTTTTATTTTCAATTACAGCCACAAATTTCTTATTTAACTATTCTTGATATCTATGCAATTCTATCAATTATAATACTTGTTTTACTTTGTGTATGGCATTCTATTATAGCAACAATGATATTTGTCAATAATATACCTGCAAGACCAGTCGAATCAAATAATATATATGTTCTTATTGATCGATATGTATTTATTTGTTTATTTACTATTTATATTATTTTACATATTACACTTATTATATGGCTTATATTTGTTCCATATAAACGACGACGAAAAATGAATTATCTTGATCGTGAATATGTTGCTAATAAATATATTCAAATAGACAAAAATCAATCAAAATATGGATCACAACAAGATTTAGTATTTCGTCGTTCATCATCAATTAATGATAGTTTATCATCAATGAAATCTAGAAAAAAAATAGAAGAATCAGAGAGTGTTATTATAATAACAAATAATTCAACATTTATTCCTATTCATGAAAAAACAAATGATATAACAACAAAAACTATGAATATAGTTAAACTACGTGAACAAGATGATGATTATTATCATCATACAAATGATATTAATGATGAACTTAAATCTACACAAATTATACATGCTGAATAGTTTTAGTTTAGTTGTAAATAAATAAATAGTCATCGTGTTCATTTAAATATAAATAAACTTAAAAAGATACAATAAAAACTATACAAAAAAAAAAAAATTCGACTCTTAATGATGTTAGATAATTAAAGCAGATATTTTTTTATTCAATTAAAAATCTTGATAATGGAGAGACATTCTTCGGTATTGTTGTAGTCATGCGAGAGAAATATTTAATATTATTTTGACCATATGTTAATCAAATATGAAATTTTAGTACATCAAATTATATAGCAACGTAATGAGGAGAAGTTGCAGTAGAGCTGAGATCCTGATCATGTCTTTAGAGAGAACTCAAGCTGCTTTTGAAGTGAAACTCAAACATTTGTAGGAAAGTTCAAAAACTTATAGCAGCAAATTAAGTGTCTTTAGCCTCAGTTTGGTTATTCCACTACATCACAAGATATAGACGAACAATTGACCATAAGTAACTGATTTAGTCTATTCTGTTCTTTTTTACTAACGTGACTATTAGAGTCCAAATTGGATTTGTTCGGAATTGGATTGTTTATTATCAATAAGCTGACTGTATATGAAGTATGTCCATTTCGATAATAGAGTCATATAAATGATTGCTTCTTACCATAAGAATAATACGTTTATTTTCGAATTCTTCTAATATTAATCAATGTTTAGCATTAGTGATTGGGGGTGGGGGCAGATGTTGGTGTATGGAAGTGCTAAAACAGTCACATCCAAACCAAGTCCACTCTCATACACTCATACTTACATTTTATTTTTACTTTTTCTACTGCTTAAAAGTTAATATCCGGGAAGATGGTCAACATCTATTTTACTTTCACATGGTACTACTACTACAACTAGGCTATTTTTCACATCGGCCAAGTTTCGTAGCGACTAATTTTCGTATTGATCAGTCATTGGCGCTCAGTTTTCGGTCTACTATGTTTGGTTCGACCAATTTTCATAGACTTCATCACAAGTTTGCAAGTTTATCGTTATTTTCTAGTCGTCCTTTTTTAACCTCCTTTTATTCAGCTGATATTGAATGATCTTCCTCTGCTATAGGTGTAGCAGTTACTAAACGTTGTTCCTCTCTTGATTGTAACACTGTGAACAATATTTTCGTATGTCAAATTACTTAAGATGTTCTTCAACAACAACCAGACTTATTTTCTTCAAATGACTGTCATTCAATGTCTTTGCTTTTCTATGCAGCATCATTGTTTGGTTAGTAAATGTTCAATCTATAGTAAAATCTTCCTTTATAAACATCTCTATAATTCAAATACCATGTTATAGTAAAGACTCTGAATTTTTACTGAGTGTTGTCTTGCTTGAAATCAACCGTTTCTTGATAAATATACTCTAACAGTGAATGGTGAACACTTTTTGAACCTTTACTTGCTAGAAAAATCTTCTTCCGGTGAATACTTTCTTTTTCTTCTCCTATTCTTCAATGCTGTTATGCACAAATAACAAAGAAACAGATCTAAATAGTGAACACTTTTGAATATTACATTGAACGTTGATACCAGTCTTTATAGAACTCATCTAAATTGATTTCAGTGACTTGTTGGGTTTTTTCTAATAATTAATTAATAATGAATTCTATGCTATTATTATGATATTGGCATAAAGCAAATAGACAGGCGTCTATAAACAGCCCAGGTCAAACAAATGAGATGAGAAGTATAGACATGCTGAGCCGGCAAAAACAATTTCATTATTGAGCACTACACATATACATATATAAATTCAACCTTTATTTTCGAAATTGTATAGCAGTTCACTTACATCGACTTCAAACATGAAGCTTCATTGATAAAAGCAGGTTTTACGTGAAGCATAATAATAAAACAAGAATATGATTTACAAAATCTTGTTTTAATAATTCAGCAATCTAGAAAATATGTTTGTGACATTGATACAACGATACAAAAAAGCAACAAGCGAGTTAAGTATAAAAGCAGTAGAAGGATATGACAATCGTCAAAATCGATGAAACAGACCATTTATCCTTTCTGTTATTCATTGTATAGTGCTAAGATGAAGGAGAAAATTGCTCAAGTTTTAATTGTTAATGAATGCAAGCTAGAAAATAAAAGGATAAGTTATTGAAATTATTAGAAAATGTTTTTGACAAGAAGAACATTACCAATACAGCAATTAACATCAGCACTGCTGTTGAACGTGTTCTACTTGTCTTTGATGAGGCTTCCGATGATGTTGTGCGATCTGTTGTTGTTGTTGCTGTTGTTATTGTCATTGTCATTGTTGTTGTTGTCGAAGTTGACATTGTTGTTGAAGTTGGACCTGCAGTAACTTCAATAGAAAAACAATGAACTGCAATTATTCAAACATTTGCTACTCACTAAAACCATCAAGTATTTGAAATTTCTGTACTTGATTATTGATTGTGTCGCTAACGAACAGAGATCCATAGCTATCAAATGCCATTGCAAATGGCATCCCCAGCATATTAACTTCTGTTCCGCTTAACCCAGTACAAGCCACGATACATTCACCAGAAGTCGAATTTGGTGGCCAGCGAAGAATTCGGTTGTTCCCAGTATCCACTATATACATGTATTCATTCGAGTCAACAACAATTCCCATTGGATACGACAGCTGAGATAAACTATTACCGCTAACTTCAGTGCCTGCCACTGTCACACCAAAAGAAGCTCCTTTATTCCATCTTTGGATTCGACTATTTCCAGAATCCGCAACGTATAATGTTCCGACTGCATTGACATACACTCCATATGGTGAAGACAGCTGTGAAGCGCTACTTCCCTCTGTACCATTTCCATCGACTACTAAACCAGGCATACCACTCGATGAGTTCGATGAATAGCGAACAACTCTGTTGTTGTTAGTGTCACTAACAAACAGGTTCTCATTACTGTCGACAAATAATCCGTAGCTAAGGCCGATTGTTGATGTATTTAAAGTGTTTCCACTTACACCATTGATTCCAGCAATTGTGATTGGATTAGTTTTATTTTTGAATAATTTTACCACTCGATAATTGAACATGTCTAAGACGTAGATATACTTTTGAGTGACAAAAACATTAGCAGGATAAGCAAATAGAGGCATTGAGTCAGATCCATTTTGAATGACATCTATAGCTGTAGTTGAATTAGGTCCGATTAAGACAATTCGATTATTAAAAAGATCGGCGATGTAAAGAATATTATCATTTGTAACGCTTATTCCTTGGTTATAATAGAGAGCAGATAGAGACGAACCAGAAGTGCCATTTGTCAAACCTGCGACCGTGGTGGCATTTTGAGCCCAACGTGCAGAAGGTAATAGATTTTGTTGTGCTGAACATACATACAAGTATCGACATCAACTCGTATTTTTTAAAAAAAGTACATCAACATTTTTCTATTATTTTATTCAACGTCTATGAATAATGAAGTGTCGATAAGCAATAGAAAAGCATGTCAATACATGCTTCTGAATGAAACTTTTTATATTCGTGTTTTGAAATATTTTTTAAAATTCTATTCATTTAAATTTATGAATAAAACTATGATTGTTTTTTCTATTTCGATGGAAATAATTGTACTAGAAATAAGGTTATCAAATTGTTCGTTGTGCTTTGTTTTTGATATCTTTAGAACTGTTGCAATAATAATCCTTAGATGAATTAGACAAATCTAAAGCTTATGACTAGACGTTAGTCACATTTTCATATCTTTTTATTTTATTTTTTGTCTACACAATTTATTGCTTTTTTTCCTTCTATCGATCGAGCAGATATAAGATTAAAGGGAGTGTAGTCAAATATTTGTGTTCTTCATATAAAAGACCTTCTATATTAGAGTAAGTAAATAAGTTACTTGGATTTTTCTATATAATATATCGTGATATAATTTCCAGTTCTAAAGAGAAACTGATGCTTTAGCAACATAAGGTGCTTCAGATCCTTAACTAGATAGCAGATCTTAATGTTGGACTTTCAGATTGACATTCAGACAAAAACATATAATTCGTATCTTAATCTATTTTAGTTTCAATAACGTTGAAGAATATTCTTAGATTTCTAAAATGACAAACAAATACAATTTCATTTTTGACACGAAGCATCATACAACAAAAATTGAACAAAGAGGACTTTCATATTATCATACAGATAGTAGATTAGCTCTCATGTGTTCATTTTGTTATATCTAAACTCTTTTTCAATGTGAAGAAGATCTAAATGGTAATGTTTGATAATTGAATGGAGATCATTGTCAAAGATGATGGAATAGTTACTCTCTTATAAGTTGATTGTCTCACTACTGAATAAAACAGAGATCTATATGGCTTTAACTATTTTATATTTAAGCATTCATGAGTGTGAGGATTTCACAAAACGCATAGAAATGTTGATGTAATTGACAATGAGTGAAAAAGAAAATATTTTTCTTACCAACTATGCATTGTACGAATACTATCATAAGCAACCAAAATCCAATAGTTGTTGTGGGCGAGATATATCCGAGCATTTTATGTTCACACTACATTTATCGTAAAAAAGATCGATTAGATAATATTTTTGTTTTTGTCAAAGAAAAATTTCTCGA